CATGACAAGAGTAGTTGTTGCGAGACATAATAGTAAAATATATAATCTTGTTGATATTCGTTCATTTCGAAGATCCCATTCATTATTTGAAGGTGGTTTTGATGAAAATAAATTGAAATTTCGGTAACAGTTTATTGCTTTTTGATGGAAACTAGACGTGGGTTGATGAGTATTGTTTTCTGTAATAAATGAATGAACAAAATATCTTGAATAGTCCACATAATATCTTATTGGTGAAATTTTGACCACCCAAAAGTTTTATTAAAGATCTTTAGAGACAGAGGTAATTTAATCAAGACATAAAATATACAGTTTTTGGAGAAAACGATTATCAATTCGAATTCCTCGACTTTGAAAACCTTTAATCAAACTTTATAAAATCTGTTGATGGCGTTAAAAAAATCATTCTTTAGTGAAAAACTGGTATCAACAAATTTGTCCTTATCCGGCAACTAGTAACGATAACTTCTCATCCATAGTCTAGTTCAATGTATTGAACTGAAATTATCACGAAGAAAATCATCTTACAATAGACATCTTTCTGTACAAGTTTCAGCTCGAATAGATCTTGTTAAGTGAGTAATACATGAAGAGGAAGGGGTGACGAAGCAAGTTCTAAATAAAGATCAATTAATATCTATCTGTTCAGGATAGACAAAATCCTTCCATAGATACGTCTTAGTATTATAAATAAATTAACTATTTTAGATAAATCTTACCTGGTTCTATTATTGGTGGTTTTTTAATCTTTCTTACAAGTTTAACTATGAATGGTGAAATAAACTTCAGAATTGTTATCAAACCACCAGTTAGACCAAAAAATGTAGTTAGAATATAAATTATATCATTTCTACTTGTGTAACTATAAGTACATTGTGTTGGTTGACATGCATTGAAGTAACTTTCGTACGTAATAGTTCGATTCCATTGTTCAATCATTGATTTGTTGATAACTTCTTGTATCGTTGAATTATCAGAAAAACAACTTGGCAGCGTTGAATCAAGAGCTGTTATATTTATGCTTGAATTTTTTTTTAAGTGTGATTGTAATTCATTGATACAAGTTTGATTGTAAAAACATTCGAGTGTTGATTGTAATAATGCTTCTACTGCAAAACATCCTATGTAGAGACCTGGTATTGAAAATAAAGTGGTTCCATCAGAATATCTGTAAATAGCTGATAGTCGAATGCATTTAGCTGAATAATCACATGCACAGCCAAAATAGTCCCGAACTTTTAAAGTTAAATATTCAACATTGACCGGTTTATGTAAACTGTACTGTACACCTGCTATACTCCATAATCCATTAGCTTGACTTGTATCTCGTATAATTTGCAATGATGATAATAAATCATTCGTTGTTAAAGAAATAAATTGGTCAACTATTGATTGTATTTGTGATTCAAATAAATGTGAAGGTGTTACCATGGCACTGACATATTGATTTGAATAGGACTGAGCTACACTTTCTGAAATGCTTTTGTTTGTTGATTCACAAAATGCACGAAGAGCACGAAATGTATTCGTACCACTCCATCTAAAATCATCAACACTAACAGTTTCTTTTCCAGAACGTCCATCAATGTAATTTATCCAATGATCAGTAACAAAAATACTACTACACACTTGATGAAATGTATAATTGAGATGAAGAAACTTTTTATAACTGATAGATATTGTTGTACATGGACATGTTAAAGTTTTTGAATGTGTCGAATATAATTGTGAATATTTTTTGAAAGTAGGTGCTTTAACATTTGCAATCTTTGTTATACTTATTAGAGAAATATAGCCGAGAAGCGCTGTTGTTAAGATAATAGAAAGAATAATAAATAATCGTGTTGATATTCGTTCATTCTGAACTTCAAATTCATTGATAGAAGGTGGTACAGATTGATACATGTTTAATGCCAGTAAATTGCGTTTAAACTTGGAAAATAATGAAGAATTTTGTTGTTGAGTATCAGTTTCTTTAAAGAAAAGAGTGAAGAAATTTTTCATTAATATTATTAGGAAAAGATGAGTAAGAGAACGTCAGAAATTTGAAGATCTAATTCATTTTCAAAATCTTCTATCAGACAACAAACAACAAAGTTTGGTTGTTGAGTCTCAAAGTTAGAATCATTTTTATGAACAAATAGTTGAATACTTAAGTGTGTAATAATGAAAATGAGCGAAGCCTATGTAATTGAGAGAGCTTTGAATACTGGCAAAACGTGGAAAGAGAAGCACCTTGTCTTGCATGGAATCCTAGCTTAATGATATTAGCAATCAAGAATTCACAGTCTTAACAAAAGCTAATACACGAAAAACGACGGACAATGTGACACATATATTCGAAGAAGTGTTAATATTGATGAAATAATGGACAGAATATTAATAATCTCTGTTATTGATCAACAGAATTAACTTCTTTCTTGAAGAACTCTTACTTACACCTAATTAATTTTTCAAAAAAAGGTTGAGATCGGTTACAGTTTCTACATGGTACTCTCGATTCACAAAACCATGATAAAATGAAACTTATCAACCAAGAATCTAACCAAAGCGACGAAAAAAAAGAAATGTATTTTGTAATTGACCCTTTATTGATACAACTCTTACTGTCATTGTTCAATAATTCTAAATTCACTTCATCTTACCTGTTTTTTCAGTTGATACTCTTTTATTCCATCTTATAAGTGTAACTAATAATGGCACAACAAGTTTTAAAATTGTTACCATACCACCTTCAAGACCAAAAAATGTAGTAAAAATATAAATTAGATCATTTCTTGTTGCGTAATTATAAGTACAGCTTATTGGTTTACAAGCGTTGTAATACTTCTCATACATCGTAGATCGATTCCATTGTTCAACCAATAATTCCTTGATAAGTTCTTGTATTGTGGAATTTTCGAAGAAACGACTTGGTAAAGATGAATCAAGTGCTTTTAAATTCATAGTTGAATTAAATACTATATAAGAATGTAACTTATCGATACATGTTTGATTATAAAAACATTCGAGAGTCGATTGTAATAATGATTCGAGAGGAAAACATCCTACGTATTGACCTGGTATTGTGAATAATGTTGTTAAATTAGGATAACTGTAAATAGATGATTGTTGAGCACATTTAGCTGAATAGCCACAATCACAACCATCATATTCTAATGGTACTACGTTTGCAATAGTATGTCCAGATAATAAATAAAGTATAATATTGGTCTGCTTTGCCGATATCAAAGCATTGGCTTGACTTGTATCTCGTATAATTTGTAATGATGATAAGAACTGATTTGTTGTTGAAGATATAAATTGTCCAAACATTGATTGTATTTGTGATTCAAATACGTATGATGGCGTTACGACGGCACTAATATACTGATTTGAATAGAATCGATTCAAACTTTTAGAAATTGTTTTGTTTGTTAATTCACAAAATGCACTCAAACCTCGAAATGTATTTGTACTTGTCCAGAGAAAATTAGGAGGATAGTATGGTTGATTATCAAAAGATGGAGCAATGTAATTTATCCAATCATTGGTAATATAAATACTACTGCATATTTGATGAAATGTGTATTCAACATTGAGAAATGTTTTATAATCGATAGATATTGTAGTACATGGACATGTTAAAGCTTGTGAATGTGTAGAATATAATTGTGAATATTTTTCGAAAGTAAGCACATCGATATTGACTGTTTTTGGGACTTTGACCAACAAAGTATACATGAGCAGAATAGTTGTTGAGAGACATAAGAGTAAAATATATAATCTTGTTGATATTCGTTCATTTCGAAGATTCCATTCATTATTTGAAGGCGGTATTGATGAAAATAGATTCAAGTTTCGCCAAAATTTCGTTGACTTTTGCCATAATTGACAAACAGGTTCGAATATATTTAGCACTTTAATAATATTAAAAAAATGAACGAGATAAATTGAAGAAGCTAATAAGTATTTTTTTTAACTGATGAGTATAAAGACTTTCGATAGGTGATTTATTTTATATGTTTATTTTCTCAATGCGGAAAGAACTGCTTAGAATGACAAGAATATCCGTGTAAATGACTATACACTGTTGTATGTGGCAAACTTGATAGTGATTGAAAAAAGCTTGATGTTCCTAGCACTAGTTCATTCGTAGCTGCCATCGATTTCTCAGCAAGTTCTTATAACGATAGTGTGTAGAAATATTTAACTCTTCTCATGAAATAGAGAATATTTGATTCTTATGAATTGCCTATATAGAAATCTAATCTTCCTCTCTATTGACTAATACAATTTTGAAATCTTTAACGTGCTGCTGATAATTTTCGTTGACTCTCATTTTTATTTCAAACTGAAAACTTTTTCAACTATACTGAACAGAACGACATGTGCTAATTTTAGTGTGTTTTTTACAATCAATAGGTTGATGTCTGAGACTTTCTTCTTCTTGATTATAATTCTGTTTAGAGTAAATAGGATTCTATTGTATTTTATTAATAGTTTTGTTGAGAAATTTTGATTTTGTTTGAATCCTTTATGTTAGGATATATGGATGATTTTATATTTCTTTTTTGTTACTATATGTTCTTACCCGTCTGACCTATTCTTCTTCACTGACGTCTTTTGTTGTAACTCTACTTGTTGTTCATTTTCAATCAGACGAAGAAACTCAACTTCTTCCCTGACTAGTCCAATTTTTCCTTCCTATATATACTTCGTGTTTTTCCAATAAGGAAAGGCAAGCTAACATTCTAACTGGTGCACTAGCCAAGTTTATCGACTTACAATCTTCGACAAACTAACGGACCCGACAATAGCCTTATTATTAATCAACATTCGGTGCCGTGTCCAGATTTCTTCACTTTTACCATCGAAGAAGAAGACGAAGAAGCATTTAGAAAAAAAGAAAATTACGTCAATCGTCGAATGTATCACCAAAGCAGTATGACTCACCGGATCGATCAATCAAACGCGTCTTGTTTTGATTGTATATACAGGTATCATTATACAATTACCGCATGTTCGCATACAATTTGTATTAGCTGCTTACATGCAGCAATTGAGGAGAAGATCCAGCTGCAATTAGAAACATTCATTTGTCCTAGATGTTCCAATAAAGAAGATTCAACACAGTTAAATCCACAACAATCAGTTGTTGAACCATCATCGAAAGCTCGTCAACGTAATAAAAATAAAACGGAATCAGCTCAAATTCTTCATGCTCAATTACATTCTGTTCAACATAAACATGAACCAACACAAGTAAATCAACTTCAACAGCAAGAATATATTCAAACACTTGAATTACAATTAAAACGTCTTACAGAAGAAAATATTCATTTAATTAATACTGGAGCTTCAACAAATGTTAAAATCCAAGTATTAGGTGAACAAATTAAAAAATTATCAATTGATAATGCTAATTTGGAAAAACAAGCACATCGTAATGAATTATTAGCTAAAGAAGCCCAAAAAGAAAAAGAAGCTTTAATTCGATATAATGAACAATTAGCACAGTCTCTTCCAAATGTGGAAAAAGACTTAAAACGTATCGAAGAAATACTTCATGAACAATTAAATGAAAGTCAAACATCATATTTACATGAAATCGATCAATATAAACGTCGCATTGCACAACTTGAAACTGATAATGAACAATTTGAAAAAGAAATCTATCAATTAAAACACAATTGATTTAAATCAACAAAAAGAACATGAATATAATGATTTACAACAATTAACTAAAGAAATTGAAGAATATAAAAAACAAATTGATCATTTACAAATTCAATATCAATCTCAAAAGAATAAATTTAGGCAAGAAATTGAACGACTTGAACAAGAAAAAATATCCGAACAACATCAATATGAAGAATCTCTATATAGTAAACTTGCAGAAAAACATATTCAAATCGATGCATTGCGCACAGAACTTGATGAAACTAAAGAAAGAAATGATTCTACATTTTCACAATTAGATGAACGTCTTCAATCAAAACGTGATGGAAGTCAATTACTTAATAACATTCAATATTTTGGTCAATGTCTTTCATCGTCTCGACATATATTTGAATCGACCATCGAATCATGCAAACAAACTTTATCAACAACAGTGACAACAAATAAACATGATAATAATCAACGTCATATACAAACAAATAACGCTATCCTTATTCTTATGATCTTAATGATTCAACACACAAAGAGTCAACTACAATCTACGGCGAATCTTGTTATAGGATCAACCGTGGTTCATCACAAACATATATTATGGAATTTGAACTACACAATTCTTACCACGCGAGTCGACTTCTAATTTTTATTAATGTCGTCTGGCATAGATATGGAACGGGCAATAAATGGTTTCACACATGGTTTTTACTTTGGTTTATTCGTTATATCTGAAATCACAGTTTTAACTGGTCGTCAACAAGTCTTTTCTATTCCTTATCACACTTGTATGCGATCGATTTTTTTTTCTTCACCAATTCTACTATGATCATCGAATTATTTTGCTTTCGATGAGAATATTCATGGATCTTCATGGAATCATTATTTACAGGTGGCAGTTATTTCTTTTTTGTTACTATATGTTCTTACCCGTCTGACCTATTCTTCTTCACTGACGTCTTTTGTTGTAACTCTACTTGTTGTTCATTTTCAATCAGACGAAGAAACTCAACTTCTTCCCTGACTAGTCCAATTTTTCCTTCCTATATATACTTCGTGTTTTTCCAATAAGGAAAGGCAAGCTAACATTCTAACTCTTTATGTTTTGAATAACCGTCCTAGAGTTATAGACTATTTGAAATAATGATTTTGATGAATTGTGTACAGAACAACATGATTATTCATGCCGCACATACTACAGAGAAACTTCTAGTGGGTGACAGATTTTTCATCTTATTGTGTGGTGTCCTTTCTAATCAAAATGTTACATCTATTCTATTAATTGTGGGATACAAGATCAATTGGAATTTACAAGCTGATGTTCTCTATTTTCAAACTTTTGCTAGCCATCCGATTCAAGTACATACGTCAAAATTGACATTGAATGATTGTTGCTCATCAGCTACAATACAGTAGTAACTATAAGATATATTATACTGTTATCACTTGATTATTGTGAGATTTGTTATATTATAAATGAAAATTCACTCGGATCACATGGACTCTTGAACTTTGATGAGTTTTGTAAGGGTATTGAAGAATCTTAACATAATTGAATTATACACACAAAATAGATACATTTAGATTTATCATGATACTATTTATTTATTTCCTTATGTCTTCATTATTGTGTTTCTATGTCGCAATATAGTTTCATTATCCTTTTTTATTTTTGATTTCAATCCGATCTTTTCCTCAACAGGCAGGCATTCTAATAACGTTTTCTTCATTTTTTTAATTTTAGCGATCCAACTACCTTGTTTCTTCTATATACCCATGGGCTTACAAGTGGAAACTCTTATCAGATAAGATAACAGTTCATGAGTTTGGCTGATATATAACATGATGATGCTTACTCTCCTGTCTGTACGTCATACGTCAGATGGCATAATAATTTCTTCTATTTTAACGGATGCTCTTATCTAGTTAGCTAATTTACTTTGAATAATTAAAAATAAATTTAGCAAAACAATATTTTTCAACTTTAGCACATTTTTCACTTATTTGATAATAAAGTGATATAGAAGAAAAGACTTGATATGTTATAGTGTTATCAATACATAATGCTAGCAAGGCAAATGGGAAAAATTTTAAATTACATTATTTTACTTTATTTTTCGAATCAACTATATTCACTTTACCAATTAAAAACGAGTCTCTCATTTTATTTGGTTAAGTAAAGATAAAAATGCTGAGTCTACTAATGCACTGTTGTTTGTTGTGATTATCTGTTGTTTGATTTATATCTTCTTTCCATTCCTAGTTTTGTGAATTTCAGTATAAAAAAATGTTAATGTAATTTTGTGTTCACCTCTTTCACCAAAAAAAGAACATTTATGTTTGATACAACTATGAATGACTTTTAGAAACAAAAGTTTTCCATGAATTTAACAAAAAGCTTCCAAATATTTAAGACCTATGAGATGAAATTTATTCTAATCTTTGAAAACGCTGTACAAGTGATACAGATCTAATCAAAATATTCAAAAGACTCACTTTATATGTCTTTTTTGTTGTTAGATACGTGTTGAACTGCTTGCTTGTTAGGCACTGACTAAAATGAGAAAAACATGCGTGTGGATTAATCTTTGTTTTTTTTTTATTAGCACAGTAGCTTAAATGAAAATACATTGTTAGCTTACTTCTATAACGGAAACTGCTGAGGTGTTATTTAACATTGCCAACTGATAAGACTCAAATAAGATCTGCAGGAAAAGATCCGGAGTGAACGTTACTAAGTTCAGAAAAATAATAAGTAACAAAGAAAACCATTGACAGACATAAAAATTAAAATAAAGAGAAGAAAAAATAACAAAATACGCATAAAAAAAATTGTTTCTTATTTCTACTTTTTTTTTATCAAGCCTTGATTTAGTTTGTTTCATATAACTTAGAACTAACAAATTAATAGTTGAGTCGTAGATGCTATATTCGAGATAAGCTAATTTGCTTCTATATTATTTATTATACATTACAATAATGCTGTGAAAATTTTCTAATTATAATGAGTATGTAATTGTTTTGAATTACATCAGATTTCAATCGATGGTAAAATACAAATAGTCACCAAAAGCAATTCTCAATCTTATTATGATTTTATTAGGGACAGTTTCAATTCAGTAATTACAAGTCATTTATTCCATGATCTTAGAAAAAGTCTAAATACTCTCCAGAATTTCTTGCAATTTATTATTTTTTTCTTTCATTCTACGATGAGAAGCATTTTTATCAAAATATTCAAATAGAAAAATGATTCTTACTATTCACAAAATGAAAATTCAGATGGAACGACAATTTCAATCAACTTAGAGAATCAATCTAGATTGAGATAAAATAATCAAATATTATTTAATTTTTGGAAGATTTAGAAACTAAATTAAGTTTTCCTAAGCTTCCTATAAATTAAAAGCGAACAATTTTATTCAAATATGTTAATAATAATTTTATTTATTATTTTTTTTCAATGTTAATTCAAATGAATACTTGGATGATTATGTCTAAATCTACGAAATTGAATCATTCGACTTATCTTATATCAATGATATCTTCTCAGAGATTTTAATTATTGAGATTTTTCAATTAAATAGCATAAAAATAAGTCCTAAACAGTATTTGATTCGTTTATTTAATCGTCTACGTCTAAGTAAATCTCTCTTCGTCAGTCAAAAAGCACTCTATAATTCCATATAGACCTCATTGAATAAATGGGATATTGTGGGATATCCTTTTTTTGATAGACAACAATCAATAGCTATTAAATGATATCATTGAATTTCCTATTCTAAATTCTACCTAGTTTTAATGATTGACATCGATTCATCTTATTTTCAAGTTTTCCAACAATTTAAACGAAAAATACAATATATCCTTTTGAATGATATACCTATAAAATAAACCTATCAATAAATCTTCATGTCTATTCTAGTATCATTTTTGTGTCGAACGACTTATGGCTTTGAGCTGAATATTTTTGATCTTATATCATGGAAGAAATCTGAGTCTTTTTTGTTTAAAGACGCTTTGTGTCCTTTTTTTTATAAACTTATTAAAGTCTTATACATCAATGACTTTGGCACAAATGTAATGAACACATTTGTTTACTGATGAACAATGGCAACTTTTAGGAAACAATCATGACAATTCAGTCAAATTTATTCTATATTACTAAAAATCAGAACTTGAATCGACGTTAGAGCATTATGTTTGATTATTGCTTAGGTTAGCTACAGACAGTTTGCCTTGTCGATCAAATGATAAATCTTGAGAATCAAAGTTGGTTTCCTTGACTATTTCCATCAACAACAAGATTCACTTATTTATCATTCTTCTTGAAATTTTGATTAGTTGAGAATGAATTAAAATATCAATTCTTATAAAAGAAGTTTATGCCAATTCCATATTTTCTTCGATTTAGTTACATGTAAGAATTAAGGATTTCTAAAGTTTCATTCATAAGATAGAACTATTACTACTGTGAATGTTAAAGTCGAAAAAATTAGTAATATTCACTGCACTTTACTATTCGATGCATCCACATAAATTTTGCTTATAAGTGTTTTTAAATCTTGTCGAATTGTAATATTTGATGACTTGTTAAATGCTTCGTTTAGTTGAATAAGCTGTATTTTCCATTGACGAAAATCTATTTTAATAAAACCATTGTCTTAACCACTGTTTCTATGTATCAGTTAAATTATTCAACTTAATTCTATGACAATAACAGAAGATTTTCGAACAATCTTCACATCTGAATATTTCTTTTGTTTTGTTATTTATATCATAGAGATTTCTGTCTGGTATTACATTCAAATGTTCATTCACTATTTACTTAGCTTTTATGGAAAGGGAAGTACTGTGTATCTCTATATATGATTCTTTCTTAAATTTTTAACCATTCAAGTAACCTAATATTAAAAAAACCACAGAAGAATTCATTAGTATTTCTACAAAGTTAGAATTCATCATATATTCTTTCGTTTGGAACTTATATTTTCTAAAACGGAAGAGGTTGAATCATTGAATTCTTTTCTTATTAATAAAGTGTTTTTTGAATAAGTGTTCTGAAGAAATTATTTATATAAAAAAAGATCAAAAGTAAATGATATCAACGTTTAAGTTGAAAAATTGACCTTCATTGAAATGATGACAACAAATATTAAGTTTACATCAAAAATCATCTAAACATCAAAATAGTCTTTTAAAAATTAAGAACTTGAACTTGAACTTGAACCGATATTGAAAGTTAATATTTATTGATCACTAAAGCTGATAATATAAAGCTTACCGTGTCGATTCTATCATAATCTATGTAGAAAATAGAGCCAGTTTAATTATGGGTCTGGATTTAGATCTGAGTTTGGTTTTCTTTTCGTTTGCAACAACATCCACACATACGCTCTAAATATATGTGATCCTGAAGCAACAACTAAGTTCTATTTAAAGTTGTACTAAATATAAAGAAAGATTGAAAATCAACTGAATATGATGCAGAACAATTAAAAGAACAACTCATGGCTGATAATAATAATAATGATGTGAACGATGAAGATCAAGTTTCAAAAGAACACTAACAGAAAAATGTTTTCCTAATTTTAAGGTTGATATTTTATACTTTTTGAACTGTCAAAATAATAGAACTAACAAAAA